GCGACAGACGGCGCCCCGCGGAGATTTTGCCGATATCCGCCACCGATCGGAAAAGCCTTCGTTGGATCGTTCATTTCAGAAAACATTTAGCGGCCAAGTTTGCCAATTTCCGGGAATAGAATTATTTAGCATCAGACTATTTTTTTGTTGGGGTTTTAATTTTTTGTTGAAAGTAGTAAATACTTCAAAAATAGCAGGAAAAAATTACGTATTTCCTTTTTAGAAAAATATCCCATTAACTAATTTTAGGCCCTTGACTGGTTTCTGAAATAAACGCTTTAATACTGAAAAATAATAATTATGATATTATTGGGAACGAGTTGCTGGAAGTAAATTAATTTTATTTACGATTCTTGTTTGATTCTTTTTGTTTTTCATAAGATGAATGATAAGACGAGCTTGTGATAAGTGATCACGTGAGAAATATAGTGCATGAGAAGCTTGAACTATCGAGCAAATCTGTTAAGTTTTCCTTTTGTGTATTGCAAATTCAGCAATGTGTCTACCTTGAAATGATCACCGGTGTTGAATGGCGGAGGAAAAGAGTGTTATCCTCTCCTAGGTCGTCGATAGCTCAGCAGAAAAAAAATGGTTCCTCGTAAACAGGAGAAAAATATACGCGAGGGCACAGAAAGACATAATAAATTAGTATAACTGATAAAAAATCAATAAAAATGTTCACTTCTTTAAAATATCTTAATATTGCATTAAGTATGTAAGAGTCGTGTACAATTTAAAAAATTGAATGATCGATAAAAATGCAGTTGCTATTGGAATGAGACAACAATGGGAATATTAGTAAAAAAGTCAATGCAGTCAGTTTAGGGATTAAAGAGAGAAAGAATGCACGAAAATCCTACCACTCCGACGGACGGATCAACAATGTTTGCAGGAAAGCAGAAATTCGCATTGTGTGCATGTAAATTCGAAAGTTAATTCCGCCCGAAATACAATGTTCTTGATAATCGGGGTAAGAAAAGCAGATTTGAAGTTTCAGATAATTTTATGGATGGGCTATAACAGGATCGCATTAATATTTTCAGATTTCATCTTCCTTCATTGTTGGAAGAGGGTATCATTAACTCACGCATTCTTATGTAGACGGTAAATTACCAACAAGCACTTTCAAAACGCGGAAGTTAAAGCACAAGAGGCTCTTTTGTGAATGAAGCTCTCGTCGCACGCCATGAATGAATGGCCGGAGAAACGACTGAAAAAAAGTGCCCGACACTGAAGAGTGAAAGAACCAGCAAGTGAGCTGTTACGTTCCAGTGGTACGAGAAGAGAAGTAATGTGCTTGCTGAGCACAATCAAGATATTTGCAGGACAATTTTAACATTAAGCAATTACTAGATATTACATTGATAATAGTGCATTGATCATAATACAGTTGTATTTCACTACAAGGCGATAGCCGAAGTCGAAATAACCCAGATCAAAAGTACTTACAAAATGCACTCTACTACTCTTCGTCCAGTTAAAACATCTGAACATCACTAATCACGGCAAGACGTTTACTTCAGACAAGAATCATTAACTTCAGGCAGATAGTTGTAAAAGCCTTCTTTGCAAAAATTTGCTATTCAGAATCTTTTTATTCATATGATGCCAAGGTTTATTAGCGTGTTCAATAGAATATAACAATTTTAGTATCAATTGCAAATTTATATCTTACATTCGAAATGTGTAAACCATATACGAACAACCGAATCTCTTGCCGTAATATTCATGTTTCGTATTGAATTCTAAAGAAGGAGGATGAATCAAATTGTTCAATATTTCAAACAGAATTGCAAGTTTCAACTTTCTTATTACAATTTTTAATTAACGTTAAAACACTAAAAAAATCAAACACCAATCTCATAACATGATGTAATTGGTTATGAATTTAACAATATCAATTAAATGCGATTAAAATAATTAAACAAACATGTTTTTAATGTTTAATAAATTCAAAGGCAACGTACGTTGCCGAGAAAACTCTCAGTTTTAAGGAAACAATGAGATCTACGATATTTCTAGTTTCTTCATTTAAAAATAAAATTTTGAACTTATTTTAGCACTTAGTAGTAAATCACAATGGGTTTTACGTGAGAGATATTTTAAAAGATTTTGTGAGAGTATATGAAATATTTATAGAATATGTATTACTTTATTAAATCTGTTAATCATTAACACATTACGGTACAGAACATAAATGACCAAATTGTCGTTTGCCTATTTCATAATTTGCTGATTGTTGCAAAATGAAATCCTTTAAATTAACGAACAGACTTCTGGAAGGAATATACTGCGAATACTATGAACATGCAATACATGCGTATATAATTTGCAAACTTTTGGAAATTTTGCGCGAAGCTATTCTTTTAATGGTTTGTAAGACTGATCCTCAGAGTTTTACCGTCTATTTTATGCTAAGACATGGTCTGGAAACGAAAATAAATCCATAATAAAGACATTTGAAAGCTATGTGCAATATACTTTCTTTCAAGCAACGCAATATGCTGCGTCAAACAAGACGGTTACCGCGGCGCCCCAACCTGGCCTATTGCCGTCAATTTCATGCTAAGACATGGTCTGTGAACTCACGTAAATAAACCATAATTGTCCGACGAAAGCAACGCGCCATGCTTTCTGTGAGACAACGAAACAGGCAGCGCCAAACGAAGACGGCCACCGCGGCATCTCGAACTTGGCCCTTTGCTGTCAATTTTACGTAAAGACATGGTCTGTAATCGCGAATAAAAAAAAACAACAGAATTGACGACGAAAGCAACTCGCCATGCTTTCTGTGAGAGAACGCCAAGTGAAGACGCCCACCACGGCGTCTCAAACTTGGCATTTTGCCGTCAATTTTACCTAAAGCCATGGTCTGTAATCGCAAATTTAAAAAACAAGATAATTTTCCGACAAAAGCAACGCGCCATACTCTCTGTGGGACAACGAAACAAGCAGCGCCAAACGAAGACGGCCACCGTGGCGTCTCGAACTTGGCCCTTTGCTGTCAATTTTACGTAAAGACATGGTCTGTAATCGCAAATAAAAAAAAATCGTAATTGTCCGACGAAAGCAACGCGCCATACTTATGCTATGACATCGTCTGGAAACGCAAATATATAAACGATAATTGTCCGACGAAAGCAACGCGCCATACTCTCAGTGAGACAACAAAACAGGCAGCGCCAAGCCAAGACGGCCACCGCGTCGTCTCGAACTTGGCGCGCGCGTCTTTCTCACCCCGCGGGTCTCCGGCGTGGTGACCGCGTGGCGCCGCTAGACGCCACAGGCGACGGCGCCGTGCTGCACTCACCGAAGCAGACGGTGGAGGTCCATGGCGCTGGCGGGACGCAGGGCGCCGGCCGCTTGCACGGGGCGCTGGAGGGCGCGGGCGAGGACGCCTGGGGGGCGCGGACAGCGAGCGGCGGCGGCGGCTGCTGCTGCGGTGGCTGTGCGGCGCGGAGAGCGACTGCGAGCGACGTCGCCGGCGGCGGCCCAACTGCGCTAGCGCGCGCTCCCGGCGAGCACCACTCTCGTCCCTCCTCCTCCTCCTACTCTTCCTCCGCAGCGCGGCGAGGGCTCACGGCGGCGGCGGCGGGACGCAGCGGGAGAAGCGCAGCCACTGGAGAAGCGTTCACCCCGGCGTCTCCCATGTAACTGAACTCGCGGCCGCCCGAAAGGGTCTCTCTGGCTGTGCCCAGGCGTGGCCTCGC